TCAACGGGTTTGATGTGCCTTTACCGATTACCGTTTGAATCGGGCTTGCATGCGGATTGTTTAAGTCCGTTCCGCATGTGACGTTGTGCTAAAGGAATGAACTCCCTTAGACTTGATGCTACGATATTGAATACGTAGACTTCGCCATTGTTACGGGAATAGGCTACCCGACAACGTGTGTTAGACGCTGACATATCCCTACTTAGGCTTTGGGATAAAAGTCCCCAGATTGGAATTCTGGTGTCTTCTTCAATCGGTGAAAGACTAAACCGGCAACGCATGTTAGGCGTAGGCTTATCTCTATTTAGGAGTCGAGATAAAGTTCCCCACGTGTGTATGACGTGGATTTTCGCGTTATTAATAACGGCCTGCCATAATGTCGAATATGTGGGCTTTTGTCCTTTTCACGGCAAAAGACTAACCGGCAACGCGTGTTAGGCGTTGACTTATCCCTGCTTAGGATTCGGGATAAAATTCCCCATGCATAAAAGGCATGGATTTTTGTTGCTACGATGCTGAATACGTAGACTCGGTCATTTTTACGGGAACGAACCACCCAGCAACGCGGGTTAAGCGTTGACTTATCCCTACTTAGGCTTCGGGATAAAATGCCCCAGACTGGATTCTGGTGTCTTTTTCAATCGGTGAAAGACTAAACCGGCAACGCGTGTTAGGCGTAGGCTTATCTCTATTTAGGAGTTGAGATAAAATTCCCCGTGCACAAAGTGCACGGATTGGAAGTTGGGAATTGTGTCTTTTCTCAGGGTAAAGACAGACTGGAAAATGGAAGAGGATGAATTTTATATTCTATCTCCCGGCACTGAAGAGGAAGAATTTTATATTCTATCTCCAGTTGGAAAGGAAACTCAAGGTGGGATCTCCACCCTCAGAATCCGAAATGATGAAACTAAGAGTGGGATCTCCACTCCGAGAATCGGAAAGATTCAAACGACCCTAACTTTTATAGGATTGGTCATTCGATCCAAAAAGAGTCCCTCATTTATTGAGGAGAAAGCCCAATTTCGACCCTAACTTTTATAGGTTTGGTGGAAAAAGGAAAAGATGGAAGTCTTTCGTTTATCGAAAAGGATAACTCAATCTTAGTCCTAACTATCTGCAGGTTTGACTAAGTAAAGTTGGAGACAATCCTAACTTTTATAGGTTTGATTGCTCAATTGAAAGTGGACCTCTCGTTCATGAAAGGAATCGAGAGGAGAATCTGGTTGTGGCCCTAACTTTTATAGGTTTGACCAAGGAAGCAGTGAAAGTGGGAGGTTTGAGATGATCTTACCTTTTACAGGCTTGATCGTTCAATTTGAAAGTGGACCTCTCGTTCATGGAAGGAATCGAGAGGGGACTTTGGTTGTGGTCCTAACTATAGGAAGGTTTGACTAGGTAGACAGTGAGAGTGGGAGTACAAATCATAGTGGGGGTTTAGTGTTTATCACTTTGTTTGTAATTATCGGGTTATCCCTAAGAAAATTACATATAGCGTTCTTCTGGGAACTTCCCATTACATGAATCATCCACCCCCAGCTTCCTTCTTGGAACTGGGTCTGACTTTGTACTCCGTTACATGACCGGGTTATCCTTAAGAATATTAACGTAACATTCTCCAGGAACTTCCCATCAACGGTAAGAAACAGTTTAGACTCATATACCTATTGGAGTATCAGGGAGCAGTTTAACCTCTTATACCGGTCGGAGGATTAAGAAGCAGTTTATACTCTTATACTTGTCGGAGTGTTCATTCGGCTTAAATACTCATATACTCTTCGGAGTGTTCATTCGACTCAATTGAGCGATATAACGCCGGCTTCAACCAAGGTTTGAATGCTATTCTTGAGAGCGAAGCAATCCTTGGTGGGATGAAGGACCCTCCTGTGGTACGCACAGTACTTCGGATCCGTATGTTGTTTTCAAGGAGAGACTCGAAGATGGCTGGAACGTCTTCGTCCTTGAAGGAGTACTCTTTTTGGAGTCTCGGATCCGAAGTCTTTTGCTGCCTTCGGGGTTGTTGTTGCGATGTCTGGTTAACGTCTACAACCGCTGCATGTGCCTTTCCTTTACCCCGGGAGGCGAAGTTTGAGTTCGGAAGATTCGCCGTCGGTTGGCTCCTCTCGGCTTTCTTCCTTCGGAGGAAGCGTTCGGCCCGCTCTCCGCGCGTCTTCAACTCTTTCCAAGTGTTGGACGGTGCGACTCCCATAACTTCTAATATCTCAATAGATAGGTTGTTATGACATGTCTGGAGGATGAAGTCCTCCGTGATCGGATCTCGGTAATTCATTGCTTTATTCCGAAAGCGCTTGACGAAGTCGTCGACTGTCTCATCATCTTCTTGCTTCTCATCGAAAAGTGTCCTGATGGATACCTCATCGTCGTCATCAAAAAAGTTACCAAGGAATGAGTTCTCCATATCGTCCCAGCTGTTAATACTTCCGGGCTTAAGACGGCGGTACCAATCGAAGGCCGGCCCGCGAAGGGTGCCAACGAATGACCGAACCATCAAGGCTTCATTACCGGAGATCATACCCAAGTGGGACTTGAAGTAGATCAGATGTTGAGTGGGTGAACCCTTCCCGTCAAACGGCGTGAAGTTAATCAAGTTGAA